CCACCGACTTCCATAGAGGCCCTGCAGGGTATCAAAAGACAATTCTGATTGCCCAGGAGGAATTCAGCCCTCACCGCTGAATGAATGTGATGCCTTTAATTTAAGAATAAATAAACATCTCTGCCTCAGCTTATTTAAGTTTTGCTCCCACAGTTTGTGATTTCTTTGAGACCATACACTTCACGTGCTTCTGAAGTTGCACATTATTACATGCAAAAGGTTTTCCTTAATACTTAAAAAAATGCAAATGTCAGGAATTCTGTAATTCCAAACTGCTGTTTCTGGTCCTTTTTCACTTATTTAAATTCTGTGTTTTTGCTGAGAATCCTAACATTTGTGTCTCTATATTGCATATTCAATATAAGTGAACTATAGCTACATACGTATACATTTTTGTACTGGTTTGAATGACCAGTACATTTCGCTAATACAGAATAGCGCTCCTTTGACAAAATAATCTCACTGATATCAGTGAAACCAAATGAAAAACTAGACTATGACTTAGTCTAAGCAAGAAACGTGAGAATTTGATTTCAACTGGTTTCAGTGTTAGGACAATTGATAGTCAAACACTACAAAGTCAAGTAGAAGTCCCTATGACATTATATTCACATATTCGACAAAGTGAGGACTAAAACATACTATTTCAAACATTAAATTCAGGACTACTGACAAATTCGCAGTAGCATTAAATATAGCAAATATTAAAATCATGTGGTAATAAATTGATGTGTTTTCCCCTTTGAGGCTGTTAAACCTCTCCAGGACCATCAACAAGGTTAACTCTTTAACGGAATGTATCACCATCATGTTTTTAGGCTTTTTAGTATCTGCAGTCGGGCTTAATAGTAATAATAATAATAAATAGTAAATTAATTATCCTTATACTCAGCTGAATTACTCGAAAAATTAATTATGTCTTTCTAAAATTACGAGGTTTTGGGCCATTGATTTGAATGAGAACAGAATTAGTGCCTCGGATTCAGAAAACCTGAGGCATCTGTAAAGAACTTGAGATGAGGGAAACACACTCAGTGACACGAGTCTGAAAATATTTGTATCTGAAGACAATTTTCCTTGTCATTAGCTTCAAAAAATTCCAATTCTATTTCTGGTACATGTATTATGTGAAGAAAACTTACAACTCAACTGAAGGGCTATGGCCTTGTGTTCACAACACCTCTGCTCCCATATTTTTTCAAAAGGACACTATGGACAACAAAGTTGGAAGGTTTTATGAACATTTATTTTCAACAGTAAGCTTTACTTTTGAAGTCACTGGGCTTTAGGTAACTTTCTCTTCTTAGGTGGGATGTGCAGCGCTTCTTGGTCCTTCTCAGTCACCTTTAGTTGTTCCAAGAGATGTTGGTTCTCTGTATCACCCAATACAGAAAAAGAGAACGCTTATGGCAGTCACAACCATCATAAAAACACTGCAGCACTTTTAGATTTTCTTGGGCTAGAAGCGGCACTGGTCTGAAGAACACCTTGGACTAAGCCGAGTAAGTCTGGGCCCTTTGATGACGCTTCCTTTGTACAAAAAACTTCCTCGTTGCCCCAAGAAGAAATACACCTGTGTTGCCTCCTGTTCAGGCCAAATCTATGGTGACAATAGTACCAACAAGAGCATAGCTACATGCGAATCCAGTTGCAGTGAAGAGTGGAAAAATGCAGCGTGGCTGTCTGCAAGATCTTTATGCTCTAAGTGACACAATGTGTTACAGAGACAGTAAGAACTCAGCCGGCTCACGCTGAAGGCAAACGAAGTTTTATTCTGAATTTAAATAGTGGGCTACTCAATTATTCCTGGTATGTAGCAGGAGCAGAATATTTTTAGGATCCTGGAAAGCTATCAGGTATTTTTATATCAGAATCTCGTGCCACAGGCCCATTCCACCTCATCTCCCTCCAGGCAGAAAGGACATCACAGACCAAAATTCCCGTCAGACTTGGCTAGTGAGCATGAACCTCCTGAGGGAATGGGTAGCGTAGTGAGTCACCAGAAGACCTCACATGTGAAAACGTGACTGAACTGAGCCTGCAGCTGCTCTGAAGGGGGAAAGCTCCCAGGAACCAGAAGTAAAAGAAGAGTCCAAGGATGCAGAGAACTGAAAACCTGGAAAAGGCCAGAGAAAGAGAGAGGAAGAGATACTGTCCCAGGGATGCCAATGGCTCTCATTTTGACTTCAGGATTACCATTTGGTATTATTCTAAGCCTTCCCTCGGGGATGTCAGCGCTTCTCTTTGCCACACAACCACGATCTGGAAGCCTTGGGGAAACCTGTCCATCAAAGCAGAAAGCACCGAGAGACATCTACCCTACGTATTATATATAGCAAACACACACATTTGCTCAGCAAGTTGTCTCCACACTGACGAGCCCACCCCATCACCAAACCACAACGTGCTCCTCAGGCAAGCTTCACCTCCCGTCACACATTCCTCATCAAAACTCTCCCAAGGAAACTTCTACCTTTCAACAAACTTAAAGAGCGAAACTTTTGGGACCAACTTTGTCGTTAAAAAGCACTCCATCTCCGCTCAGACACTGCATCAAGAGGAACACCTCTGTGGCATGTGTTGATACAAGCAAGTAAATTCTGCTCTGTTTACTATACTTATGTTGCAGACATTATTTATGATTTCAGGTATTTCGCAGAAATTGCCAAGCACATTTTCAAATGCCTAGGTAACTGAATAACGTCTATTATCCCACAAGGTTTGTTCTGTTATCTCACTGCTTGCATAATTCTGAGCAAATATCCCTTCACATGTGATGTTTAAAACCAGAATGAAAGATAGACTGCAAACGCTTACATTTGACTGAATAGAGCAACTGATTCATAACTCATACAGCTACTTCTTAAAATTCAGACCATATCTCTAATTTCATGGCTGCCTACGGATACTTTGCCCAAAACAGTTCTGCATTTCACAATTAAGTTGATGAGTTTCAAAGCTTTAGACTTCAGTTTCCCAAAAACCTTTCAGTTCTTATAGTTCTCCTTTTGATTTTAGTAGCAAGTTGTACCTACTCTGCACTTTACCAGTGTATTCTATACCATTCTTTGCAGATTTTGTTACTTGCACAAAAATCACACTGCATCATTTCTACTTTTTATTAACTCCTTCATTTACAAGATAATATATTGAAATTGTGTTGTAGGTAAAAAGGTTGTGAAAAGTGCTATACTCAAAACACAGAATTAGAAGTAGTAAATTCTTGGTTCTGCACACGGTTTGGTAGCAGACTTGCCAAAGGTTTGGCTGAGTATTTTATGATTACTTTTTCAAACGTGTTACCTGAATCTGCCTTTCTCCACTTTCAGCTTAAATTATAGAATCAGTAATAACGCAGGATACCAGCTAAAGTCAATGCAGGGCTAAAATCAATAAAGCCAGTAGCTGTCGGGTACCCTGAAAACTTCAAGCCATACCCCTTTGAAGTACAGATTCTGCAAAGTGAAAGGTACAAAATCAGTAGAAATATATGAAAAAGTCTGCTTTGTCCTTTCTACTGCTATTTTCCTTTTCAGAATTTAAAATTCCTGTTTTTATATGTTTTACACTAACAGTGATGATGTGAAATGACGTGTGCTTTCTCAGTAAATTGACTGGTTATTCAAATACGCAATTCCTATGGTTCTGTGCTTTGCTATGGCACTGTTATGACTAGATGTACCACAAAAAGATGTAGCTGTTTTGGTCTTTCTGGTATCTACGGTTCTTGAAAATCAGACTTGTTCTGATTTCAAACTAGAGATGTTCAACTGCTGGAATTTAAAGGCAAAGAAATGATAGATTCAGACCACATAGACAATAAAATTCTTTCCTACATAGTTTAGGAAAAGGACCTTTGACATTCCCTCAGGGCTCAGTGCTTGGCCCAGTCTTGTTCAACTTCTTCATCAATGACCTGGATGAAGAGTTAGAGTGTACCCTCAGCAAGTTCGCTGATGACACCAAACTGGGAGGAGTGGTGGATACACCGGAAGGCTGTGCTGCCATTCAGCGTGACCTGGACAGGCTGGAGAGTTGGGCAGAGAGGAACCTGATGAAATTCAACAGGGGCAAGTGCAGGGTCCTGCACCTGGGGAGGAACAACTCCATGCACCAGTACAGGCCTGGGGCTGACCCGCTGGAGAGCAGCTCTGCGGAGAGGGACCTGGGTGTTCTGGTGGATGACAGGTTGACCATGAGCCAGCAGTGCGGGGCTTTTGGCCGCTTTTGCATATCGCGGTGGGCGTGCTTGGTTTGTGGAAACCTCCCGCCTCACACCCTGCGCGGGAGGAAACAGTGTCTCCTCTCCAAACATACTCTGCGTGCTTCGGGAGCTGTTTTCGATTTCAGGCAACAGCACAAGCTAAGTTCTTTATTCCACTACAAGACTGATGTGGGAAATTGATGTTTAGTTCGATTTTGTTATAGCTTTAGCTGAATTTTGTTATTTAGCTTTGCAGCTATGTTAAGGTAAGAGTTAACCACTGACATTCAGTTTAGTTCTGTTCTTTGTAACCTTGCTAACAAGGACCGCTGTGAGCTAACAAGGATGGCTTGCGAGGCAAAAGAAGAGAAACAAGGACTGATAAGGACTGGTAACCAGAACTTCGTTGTCTATAAGAAACAACTCTCCAGCTGAAACTGGTTCTATGGTTTGGGAGTCAGCCAACACAGACAACTCAGGCATTTTGGAGCCAAAGGTGAAAGCACACAGCGAGGAGGACTGAAGGAAGGCGTTAAAGGGATTTTAGTAGAAGCAGCCTTGCCTAATAGTTAAGGAATTTGGTAGAAGTAGCACTGCCTGACAGTTACTGTGCAGAGAACTTACAGTGCTTAAATTAACTGAAGCAGAGGGTCTTGCATTTCCTTACAAAGGCCGTAGTTCCTTATAAGGGCTGGGGAGTTGCCTAGGACCAGCTAAGACTGACCTTGCAGTTTGGATGGGAGCCAGAAGAGAGCTGAGTTTGCCCAGAAACAAAGGTCAATCAGCGAACACCGCGATGAAGAGGATGAGCCTTCATCTTGGGACCCTCGACGACCACCGCCAGCAGGCACTGCACAAGCCCGGCTGGGTCACGCATAGGTATAGGCGGATTGGGAAATCTGATCAATATGTAGTACTTGACCGTATAAATTGAAGAGGCAAGTTGCTGCTTGGTGTGAACGACTTTGGTGGGACTACCCCCTGTGCTGCCCGGCGCCGAATAAACATCTCTACTGTACAATCTGACAGATTGTGGAGTCTGCTTTCCACGCGTCAGGACTACGAGCCTTCATCCAGAAGACCCCCACAGATGACCACCAGCAAGCCCTAAAGGGGGTCGGAGCATGATCATGAATTCCTAAAAATAATTATCATAATCACGCCTATTCCTAGAAATAATTGCAATAATCCAGCCTACTTAAACTTTGTAATAAATAGGTGCGTGCTTTGTGGCTGGGGGGGGA